AATTGTCTCCGGCTGGTCTAAGGGTGAATCAACTTGTACGGCCAAGGGGCCATTCAAGAGAATTATCACTACGTCAGTTAGCAAATTTTATACAGAGAAAATGACCAAAAAAATCAAGACAGCCTTAACAAGACAGTTCCTCCCTTACCTATCAATATTTTTACCTTTTTGTTTTCCATTTGTTAAGAAAAAATCAGAAACAGTTGAATTGTTGTATGTCGTCCAGTTAAAGTGATCCTTGTGATGCCTCTCAACCACCGGGGATTGCAATGAAAAATTAGCTTGAGTTGTTATTTACTCCAAACAAACAGCTTGAAACAATGCAACCACTTAAACCTTATGTTCAATCTATTATAAAGTTTCACAAGTACCTCAAATAGCATTTTTAAAAATATCTTGTTGTCATGAACACTTAAATCTTCTGTTTTTCTTTAAATAAATGGCCTCGTCCGTGACAAAGTGTTATAATTACCTCTACTAGTTTTGATTACTACTGCAGCGGAAAACGTACCACTGCAACACGCTGGGAACTAAGATCACAAATATTTGATAACTGAGATTCATTGCAATTTAGCCGGAGGCGAAGTCAGCATTGAAGTGTTTTTCGAACACAGCGCAGCGTGAATTTTTGGGAAACCAACAAACCCTAAATGAATTTCGTCAACAACGTATTGCACCATTAATTAGTTTGAATAAAAAACGAGCATAGAGCAGAATCCACGTCTAGGGTAAGAAGGAAACTTATTGTCCTCTTGTTGAGATATAAGACAGGTGCAAATTCCAGCATTATTTGCAATTTTGCACCATAGGCATGTGTGATCAGGAGTCTGAATGAAATACGTGTAACTATACCCTTGACTGAATGAAAATCATTTCCTTTCAACATTCCATGTTTTTTCAGGGAACCACACTGTTAGATCATATAGTGCGGTTTCAAACTCCTCGCGCACAGCAATGTCTTCGCCATAATTCCATGTTAAGTTTTCAAGCGGTAATTGCATTCGATTTCAATACTGTCATGATTGTAAAATATCTGGGGCGGTCGAGCTTTGCCAAGTGAAAAAGGTATTAATTTTTTCCTCATATTTATATTTGCCTTGGAGGCACATAGATTCTGATAAGAAAACAAAACGACGGCTCACTTCAATTGGTCTTGAATTGTTTTAAATTCCAAAGAGGCAGATACAAACATGACAGGTTTATCTGTTCTTTGATCATCAAAATGGCTATGTTTGACCAAATTTTACCCGTCACAGCTAAGCCCCATTGTTAGACAAGTTGTTCGACATGGCATACACGCTCCTAAATTGAATACAATCTTTCTTCATCAGTTAAATGAAAAACAAAAAAAAACTGTTTTGTGGAGTCCAGAGTCCAAGATTGACGTGGGACTGTAGTAGTTTCTCAGAATGATAAAAACTTACTTCTTCAGTTCCCTTTAGTTTTGCTTTTTTTTCTTTTTCATTCTTTACAATACCATTAAAGCAGTTTTCTTAAAAAAGACAAAGACAAAAGAAAAGAAATACCATGTTTACTTTTAATGAATTGCTTTAGAGCTCTGAAGGAATCAGTTCTTGGTGATCACCCAATTATCGGCTTAGCTTAGTTCGTTGCGGTTATAAGAAAAAGTCCTGTAATTATGATATCTCTGATCATTAAAATATAATTGCTCATGCGGCAGTGACATCTGTTTTCGTGACAGATAATGCAAAAATTTTGATGAGAAAACAAGGTGTAATGAATGGTTTCTCCAAAACCAAAGAGGATAAAACATCGATAAATTATAAACCTGTATCGATTTTGTGTTTGTTTGCTTGTTTGTGACCAATCACTGACAGGCAGAAAATAGCCTGTAAACCAATCAAAAGTCGACGGTGATAGACTTACTATAAAAACGTTCTTCAAGTGGTAATGGAATTTTTTTTTTCGGATACATTTTCAAGCGCAATATACATTAAAAAATATAGCACGCCGACTGTAGAAAAATCCAGCCCGTTTACTTTCGCATCAATTCTCCGCCGGTTTGATCTGTCATGAACAATCACGTGTACTGTTGGTATTGCTGGTCTGCATCTGACGTCTCGACAGCCATGTTGGTTCACAAGAACAAAAGCTTTTCCCTCCGCTATGAACTAAACTTTTTTCAATGAAAATTGGCGGGAAAAAACTGGCATTGTTTTGTGAACCAACATGGCGGCATCGTCACGTGTCTGCAAACGAATAATTTACTCGAACAGTTGACTGATCGCTTAGTATTAAAATTTCGGCCAAAATCGGAAGTGGTGGCGCGTGGCGCTTAGACATTGAGGGGGCGTTATTCAAGTTCTTCTTACATTGGACTGTAACTTTTTCTCCAAATTAGCCAATACAAAAAGTTAAAGAATAAAGCAACCAATTGTTCTCTTCACCTTAAATTCGTCCACTTCGATAGCTCTCTCTATTTTTTCACTCCTTTTTTTTGCGTAGTAGTGTTATTTTCGGTTTTCTCGGATGCAAAAAACGTGGCTGCGTTTTTGGCTTCTTGAGTCAAATGGCTGCAAAATTTAGCAGATACGTTTTTAAACGTCTGGCTAGATATATTAAGCGTGAATAAGCCTACTACCTAAGAGACTGAGTGTAAGGCGGGGGGGGGGACGTTTATTCACCGGAACGGGAACGATTATTTTATCATGGGCACCTAGTATGTTTAGGGTACTTATTAGAGAAAATTATCGCGGTATTCCGCCTCGCAATACAAGGCTAACCTTGACACACGCAGGGGCGGATCCAGGATTTTTTTTAGAAGGGGGTGCACTCGTCTCTCGCTCTACTTCAACACCAATAAACCACATAATTTTTTTTTTGGCAGAATACCAGTTGTATTAGAAAACCGCAGGTCATCTCAGGGGGGAGGGGGGGGTGCGCACCCCCTGCACCCTCAACCTAGATCCGCCCCTGACACGGTAACAATGCGTCAGTGAATTTCCGTCAAACGTCAAAATGTAGGTGAAGATATTTCTCCTGCAATCTAGTTTTATGTCGGGCATTTGTCAAGTCGTATGTTAACTCATAGGGGAGCATTTTTCATCAAACTAGTCTCATTATTAAATTCTATATTTCTTTCGCGGCTTTTAAAATGGAAAAAGTATTTCATATCAAGAAAGCAAATAATAGCAAGCTTATCAAAGAAAGATTTGCTAAGTCAATTAGCATCTTAACACTTCGGGTTAACCGAACAATATTAGCCGGGCAGATTGGTGAGGCTGGTTTTGGAAGCTTTGCAAAGGATGTGAAGAGCAATTCACCGTCTCTGTTTAAAAAGATTGCCCCGATATAATTTTTAACTTGTTAAGTTTTGAAATTCACACTTTCTCCAGTTGTGCCTTGACGAAGACACGCGGCGAACTTTTGGGTGCATCGATAAATGACGGGTTAAAACATAGGTAGTTGAAATTCGTTCATTTGATAAGTTCGTTTAGCTATCCACGGCGTGGACTTGTGGTTTTACCTTCTTTTAAGGAACTTGATTTTTCAGCTTTGTCCCCGTGGGGTAAGGATGAATTATTATTTTAACGCCCATGGTGAGTCTTTTGTGTGAATCTACTGACCCCACCATGGGGTCATTGCAGCTTTACAAAGACAAAGTGATAAATGGCCAACAATTGCAAGAGGAGGGGTGAGGGTTATGGATTGAGCACGGCTGGACTTAAACGAGTCATAATAATTTTTTTTTTCAAATAGTATAAGCTTTCAAGGCAGCTTTCTCCAAGACGGTAGGTTATTCCCAAGGTCATCGCAGACCAATACTGTTTCAAAAAGTTAGAAACTGCTTACGATAATTTGAGAAATTAACTGATAGAAACTAAGCTATATTTTAAAAACATTAATAACGTACAGAACGAATAATGTAGACAGATTACTACATTGTAATGTATCTCATGTTAATAAAGCTAAATCATATATGGAAGCTTCATGCAAAACCGTTGAAGCCGGAGAGAGGAAAGAGAAACAAAAGCATTTTAAGAAGTTCATTAAAAGTGCGGAGCTGTTTTAGAGGCAAGAAAATTATTTCTTCAACAGTCTTTTATCATGAAATCAAAATTACAGACTTGCGTTTCTTCGAGGAGCGGGACGAATAATAAAAATTCGCTTCTTTAATTTTTCGTGACTGAAAGAAATATCAATACAAACATGAGACAGCTGTTAATAAAGATTTCGTTTCCATTCATTTTTTTGACCTGCAATAAAATTTATTCATCTCAGTCTGATGCTGCCTCCGAGGTACTCACGAGCTTCTTTAATCCCAGCTATTTCATTATTACTATTAGTTTATCTCGCTGCTAGAGGAGTGGAAAGGTTGTTTTCCTGATTAGAAATAAATCAGTTAACCGCGAAAAAATTATGATTTTACATCAAACTGCCTTGAAAGATTACGAGATCACATCTAAATAAACAATAATCAGAAATAGACATATCAAAAGATACAAATTAAAATAATTCAGTTTCTTTTTTGCAACTTGGAAGAGAGACTTAAGTGACTTAAGATGTTCCAGTCCAACCTATTGATCTTATCTTCTGATAAGGTATAATCCTGGGGGTAACTTTAAGCTTAGACAAGTCATCGACAGAGTGCGGTGCCCAAAAATTATTTTAAATAGCCGCCATAAGAATTACATAATCCCATTTCGCAAAACATACTTGGAAAATTGTGTGGGAAACCCGCTTTACTTAATTAGCAGCTCGGCCTTAATTGTGGCCTTGGGGTGCTTTCTCTTTCAAACAACCTTGCAGATTATCAACTGAAAAAGATTTGCCTGCAAAGTGAACCAATGAGCTCTTTCGCTAGTAACTTTGTTTTCATTTGTTTCATTTTATAGATCGATCATTGATTGGAAATAATTGCTCAAGAAAGGGACTTCAGATTTTCTTACGTCAGGCTTATATGATCAATAAAGACGGTGGGAAAGTTAGAATATCAATTTGAAGACAGTGCTGGAAAATAGTATAGCCTAAACATCGACATGGAAAATCCTGGTGATGGTGGCAACTCAACAACAAATGAAACAAGCGATTGGACCTGCCCATTACACCAAGAAACAGTGGTCACACAAGTCGCAAAGACTCTCGCGTACTCAATTATCATTTTTCTTTCGCTGGTTGGAAACTCGATTGTTATAATTACCGTTTGGCGGAATAGCAGTATGCGAAGCGTCACAAATCTCTTCATAGCAAACCTGGCCGCAAGCGACCTGTTGATAACCATTCTCTGTATGCCGAATATGATAACACAAGTGTATTTGGGTTTTAAGTGGATCTTTGGCGCGGCCATTTGCAAGATTGTCGTGTTTTTCCAAAGCGTTTCTGTGGGAAGTTCAATTCTCACCCTTTTAGCTATTTCATTTGATCGCTTCTGGGCCATCGTATTCCCGTTTAAACGGCGACTTTCGTTCTTCGTAGCCAGGATCATTTTGCTGGTGATATGGGTGATCTCTTTATCGGTTATGGCGCCATTTTTGTATGCCCAAAGGGTCATTGTTGGAAGCGATGGATATGAGCATTGTATTGAGGAATGGAGCCCGGCCTTTAATCCAGTTACCGCTCCAAAGGATTTCACTCTGATCCTGTTTACAACACTGTACGCCTTCCCACTACTAACGATGGTCGTGATGTATTCAGTTATTGTCTCTAAGTTATGGCGAAGACAGATACCGGGTATACGCTCGACTCGAGAAGACCTCAGAACTCGCGCGTTAAGGCGAAAAGTCGTGAAAATGTTGATCACTGTAATATCTTTGTTTTGCATTTGCTGGCTTCCAATCTATGTGTATCAGTTTATTTTGTTTTTTGACCCCCACAAACCACCTTGTTTTGACTCCTCACTAACTTTTTATTTTACATCGCTTTTGTTGGGCCATGCTAATTCCGCTGTCAACCCATATTTGTACGCGTTATTTCACAGAAAATATCGACAGGGTTTCAAAGCGGCCTGCACCTGTACCGCGATCCCCGACAACATAGGGTTTAGCCGGACATACAGCCGAAGGAAAAGCTCAACGAGCTCTACTTGGTTGACAAGATCTAACAGATACTCTATCGCCAATCGTAAATTTAGTTCTGTTTTAGTGATGAATCACGTATCTATGAGGCGTGCCGATACAGTTGTACAGAGCAAAGCAACAATGTTACGTAAGAACTCGGAAAACTATTCTGGAAAATTACGAAGGGGCCCATGAGAACAGTCAGATTGAAAACAAACTTAGGAAAGCAGAAACAACTTTCCCACTGCGCTTCTGTCAGTTTAAATCTTTTTTTTTTTTTAAACTTTTCAAACTTTTATTAAATACTTCACAGTATACCGTTTTAATCTTAATAACTCAAGAAATGTTACTTAAATTCTATTATACTGGCTTAATAAGACATATAGGCTTGATTAACAGACTAGCTAGATAGTGTTTGGTATCTCACTGATCACTTGGGCCTCTTTTCATAGATATATATCATATGTTAGAGAACAGTATTAATCTGATTAAAGATGAAAATGTAAATGCACTTAAGAAATAGTAAAAAAGAGAACAACAAAAGATATGCATCTTGAAGGACGACAGACTTTGTATGCGGCAAATTCCTGAGCATACTTCCTCTGTATGTATATCAGTTTGATTTGCTAAAAAGAACGAAAATCAATCTTATTTGTCACAAACACGTCATTCAACTCAATCGTACTTTAATGTAATTAATGCGAGACTGAGTCCCCCATTTTTCTTATTTGTCTTACTGTTAATGGCGGCCATCTTTGATTTTTAGATAAAGGCGTCATTCAGCTCTAGGGAGTGGGGGGTCGAAACCGTTTAAGGCAAGGTTGATTCGTATGACGAAAACTGTTCAGAAAGAAAAGATATATGTCATAAATATTTGCATGAAGGGAGATTCTGGGAAGAGCTGGTCGAGCTGCTGAAATAGACGTTAAACGATTTGACCAACCAAACGACGAGTAGGATAATGTAACACGTGACCGAAATGGACCAATCAAATGGTGCATAGCTAAACATCAGATCGCAAAAATTGCACTAAAAATTGAAGATGGAAGACATTATTGAAAATTCAAAATGTTGGGCGTCAACGATCTTTGATTTTTGTTTTTCCTTTACGAGAAATAGGAGCAGATAGAATAAGAAGTTGATAAACGTAAGGGAGCTCTTCCCTGTCCGTAGCTACAGTCCATTCATCATTGGAATGAAGGTTCTCGAGTTTGTTGTGTCTGGCCAGGTTTTTTCACATGGCTGTTGGTGATTTTATGCGTCATCATCTGATTGGGGCATTTCACTCACGTGGTGCAAAATCCTGCCCGTGCGTGAAATGAGCCCTTTAAATGTACTTAACAGTCAAACAAACAGTCAGTAATTATAAATAAAATATTTCTTTATTTATTTTGCGAAAATGTTTTAAAAGAATATAGTGCATACAGTGATCCGTAGTTAAAAATGATAAGCTAAAATTTTGAGGCTTCTAAAAAATCTTAAATGATTAGACTTGCTGGCTCGTGCCAGTTCCTTATAAAATGTAAATTACGCTCTGAAGAAACTTAGATTCACAACTTCCTTTCCACGAACTCCAGTTTACTGACAGAGGTAAAAACGGAAAATGAGCTATACGAATAAATTTTCTCGAAAGTAAACAGAATAATAATCCGTTTATAAATACTAATATCATAAGTGACGAATTACTCCTTAATTTTGGGGCGAAATTTCAGCTATAATTTGTAATTTCACATGTGAAGTTACAAAATTGCAATGGCGAGATGGCGACGAAAAAATGTCATGAATGAAGATGCCAGGGCATATAAAGACGCTTTAGAAAACCTGAACACACCAAAGAGCACATCAAGAAGGATTCTAACAGGTATTTTGTCGAAAAATTCTAAACTTGAGTCAAATTTGAGCTCTAAACGTTCGAGAGAGTGGAGTTTTCAATCGATACGATCCAGGATAAACATGTCAAAAATCCAAGATTGCTATCGTATTGCTGTCGTAATTCGTCACCCATGATATTAATAGGTAATCAAATGGTATACTCGTGAAATTAGGGAATAATTTCACTTGCCTTTTGTCCAAATCCTAATAACTTCCCTCGCCTAAAGTCTCGGGAAATTATAAGGATTTGGACAAAACGCGCGTGAAACTATTCCCTAATTTCACTCGTCACCATTTGATTACACATACAAATATATACAAGAAAGGTACAAAAAATAAATAAACTTAAGGAGTATAAACTAGATCAATCAAAATTTCACACCTGACGGTGAAGATATATTGGACATTGATCAAGAGTCGAATGACAGTTACAAGCGTTTAATTTGTAATTCGAGGGCCTAGAACAAAAGTGCCGCTGGCCTAAATCAGTCGACACACAACATTTGAGGGTCCTGTAGATGTAGTAACCTGACCAAAGAGTTGTTCAAGCTGTTTCCTTTTCTGTCTTTTGTGTCAGTAGAAACACACAATGAGTTTTAACCATTGAACCAGGAAAAATCTGATCGTAAAGCATCGTCAACCTCAAATCTCATAATGTGATGTCGTTATTTTCTAATCCTAGCTATAGAGATTTATCTGCCTTAGGGATAGGTCAGGCCAGGCAAAGTAAAGCGGTTATTATATAGACTTCAAACTCATTTCAGATTTGAAAGCAAATCTACACCTATTCAGTTTCAACTCAAATGGCTAGTATAAGACAGTAACAGCTGAAGGGACTGAGACATACGTTAGGGTAATAAAATAACTATTGTTAATGGATTAGTGACTAAAATGTTTTGAACTCGTCGAAAAGTTTGCAAGAAATTAACCGTTCAATTTGATATTCAGTTCTTATTAAAGTTGGTTGGCATGATCACCATAGTTACGACAAAGTTTACAAAAATGTCCATCTTCATTGTGAAGTAAAATTTCTGGTTTGTCATACTCAACAACTCTTCCGTGATCCAGGACCAAAATTCGATCATAATCCATGATTGTGTTCAATCGATGAGCGACTGTAATCACGGTACAATGTTTAAATTTCGTGCGAATTGTTTCCTGAATTAATTGATCTGTTTTGGGATCCACATTTGCCGTCGCTTCATCCATTACTATAATTTTGTTCTTCCTCAATAAAGCACGAGCCAGACACAAAAGTTGCCTTTCCCCGGAGCTGAAATTGCTGCCGCTTTCCTTAACCAACTGGTTCAGTTGCAGCGGCAGCTTTTCCACCATGGCTCCCAAACTCGCATCCTTCAAAGCATTCCAGATTTCCATGTCTTCGTACTCCTCAAAAGGATCTAAGTTCATACGCAGTGTACCCGTAAACAAAACAGGATTTTGGGTAATAACTGCCATAGCTCTCCGAGAACTTTGAATGTTAACATCACTGACATTGACGTCATCGATGATGACGTAACCAGTGGGTTGAGGCATTCGAAACAGGGCTGCAATCAATGAAGACTTGCCAGCACCAGTGCGACCAACAATTCCGATCTTCTCTTGTGGATTAATAATAAAAGTAATACCTTTAAGTATTTTGGGTCCGCCATGGTAGTAAACAAGTTCCAGATCTTTTATTTGTACTTGACCGTACTGCGGCCAGTGTTCTGGAGGCTGTCGATGATTCTGGTACCCAGGCTCTTGCTCTATTTGACTGTACTTGACAACACGTTCAACAGACGTCATGTAGTTTTCAGTTTCTGAAGCCATTCTCACGGCATACTGAGAGGTATCCATAGTTAGCTGTAGGGCGTATACAATAGACAATGCTGCAATCCCTGCAAGTAGACAAGTAGGAGAGTCCTTTATAGGCTTTTCAGGATCCGGGTTTGCCTTTATTTGAAGCTTGGGATTCGGGACCTTAAAGCAAAATGGGAGCGAGATTCGGGATTAAAAGTGCACACCGCCCGGGTGGGATGTCAGAAATAGCCCTCGGGGTTACGGGATTGTTCGAAAATTTAGGGGATTGAGGAGATGCTATTGGGGAACGTCAAGTAACGTTTTAGTCAAAATTTATACTTTTAATGCTTCATACTTTTCCAGTTGATATAAGCACGAAATCTACAAAAGAAAATCATTAAAAAACGTGAAAGGGAGCTCTGATATCCAATGGTGAAGCTATCATGTGACATTCAGAATGTTTCGTGCATGGCCAATCATTATCAGTTCTTTTTTCAGCTAACTTAACCACTCATCTCTAATATGCATTAACGTTTTATTTCACCAAGATTTGTTTCCAAGTATTAATCTTTTGTTATATTCCTGAAATGTAATTAAAAAAGACAATAGTGGAAACTATCTTTTGGGACACGTCTTCAAAGGACACCTCCATTCAATGTTTTATTAAGGCAAAAAAAAACACCACAAAAACCGTGTAAGATCAATCTTGCTCAACGTCGGATCCAAAAAGATCGTGATCAGTCAAAATAGATCAAACTGAAAACGTTATATAATCAAGACGATTTTTGCAGGGACTGATCAAATAACGTGAAAAAATACAGTTTAGTTGCGATATTTCGACTGGCCAATACCAGTCTTCATAAGGTTTATTGAGATATCACGAATTTACAGAAATATATAAGAAGTAAAATAATGACGAGAAATTATGCATGTTAGTAAAATCCAACTAGTGATCTATTATCAATGCTGCGTTCTGATTGGTTGCGCTACTACTACGGTTATATGTTATAGCCTACTTGTAGCGAAAAGCGTGGGCTTTTTGGCGGCAAAAAATTGGATTACTGCCCTTTTCACAAACAGGCGAATTCTGAAGTTCAAAAGCCAACTGACGATTGCGTTTTTCGCTGCCGTCAATCATCTTAACGGACCTCTTAGGAAACAAAACTTTACTTTATCGGGTTCAAAAGGTCAAGGTTTGTGATTTGTGATTGGTGGATTTCGATCCGTTTTGGGTGTTTCTGTGTTTCAAGGTTCGTTGCTTGTGATCGTAATTATGATTGACGGCAGCGAAAAACGCAATTGCGAAGGCGGCTTTTGAACTTTAGAGTTCGCATGTTTGTGAAAAGCGCAGTAAAGTCTAGCTTCAACGAGCTAAAATTTTTTTATTCTCGATAGTTTTGACCAACTAGTTGGATTTTACTAAAACAATTATTCCTCTCGCCCTCATGGCCTCTCTGTCAATAGCCCTTTCGGCCTTCGGCCTCATGGGCTATTGAGTCAGAGCCCATTCGGGCTCCCGGAATAATTGTTAAATACGACGTGGTATGGTGTGGCTACCTCCATTCAGAGGACACAAAATTCATTTGGTCCCGTAAATACATCTGTTGCCTCCCTTATTGAAGGGACATCTAGCTTTATGCGGGAGAAAGCCGGACTCTTTTTTCTGGGTCCTAAAACCCGGGTTCAACCTCCATTCAGGGGGTGTGCACTGAAATCATTTCCTGCATGACTAATAAGGGGATTGACGAGTTCATGATTGTGAACACTAATCGTCACAAAGATGATAGCTTTCACAACCTTAACTATCTTACTTAAATCTATGTTTTGCATGCACTCGTGGGAAATATCATAGGGATATTTTTTGTGCGTTGTAAATAATTTATGATATAGATAGATAGATAGATAGATAGATAGATAGATAGATAGATAGATAGATAGATAGATAGATAGATAGATAGATAGATAGATTTAAGCAATAGACCACACTTTCTATGGGTTTACCGGCGTGATAACCCACGCGGGACGTTGGGAGAACACGAGAAAAGCTTGTAAATCACGAGCCGAAGGCGAGTGATTTACAAGCTTTTCGAGTGTTCTCCCAACATCCCAAGTGGGTTATCACGCCGGTAAACCCATAGAAAGTGTGGTCTATTGCTTTTATAAAATAACTTCTAGAAGAATGGAGTCTTTTAGGTAAAAAATATTGTTTTAGTACCGTGATCAAGTCACGTCTTCTCTCTAAAGTCATCATAAGCCAATCATAACTCTCGATTTAATAGCGTTGAACTTTCTCAAAACTCAGAAAACTCAGTTCAGTCAAACAACAAACAGCAGCACTTCAAAACACGAGTTTTTGCACTCATTACATGATAACTTATGAAAGCTGTTTTACAGGAAAAGTCAACACAAATTCATGCGAACGTAGAATGAAAGAATAAGTTCATGGTTTGTTTACTACAGAAGTAGAAATTAATTGGACATCAGACTGTACGCAGCTGTATTTTGTTGAGTCGATCCGTAAGAATTTCATTGTTACAGACGGAACTGACAGCTATTGTAATGGAGGACTTCATTCACTTCTTACAAGCCGCAGTGGTTTAAGATCTGTTTTCTGGACTTTATAATGATCAAGAAATGCTGCGGTAACGACGTGGCTGCATTTGCGAAGTTGTCGCATGTAACTTTATATGCACGTACAGCGACCGATGGAAATATGTCAGTGGTCAAAGGTTTCTTTGCCGTAGCCACATATTGGCGTTAATATTTGTCGATTCGTGAAGTCAGGTGGTTTGAGGTAGGTTATGGCATCGATATCACCGAATAATTTGTGCAAATGTTGGAAAAAACCAGCCCGAAACTCTGACATCTTTCATCATCGTTGGCAGTTTGTTTACTGAACCTACAGCGGGCGATTTTGTACCATATCTTGATCAGAGATCTCTTTTTGGAACAATTTCTTTCATTAAGGAATTTAATTTTGACATAAAATAAATCAAGAATGCTAAAACTATCCGTTTTGTTGCTGGTTGGCACATGGTTAAGTTTTCCTAGAGACTCTCTACACCAGAAATTCACACAGTTGTTGTCTTTCTCTGCGATTGGCATTGTCGTGAAATGTAAACTGTTTTCCAGCTTTGTACTTTATAACTTCTAAAGCTATGGCAGTAGCGAATTGTGAGGCTCAGTAATAAAATGTGGAAACCAACGCTTTTAATATTAAGAAGGGCTGGGTAAGTAACTTGTTCTGTTTTTTAGCCGTTCTAAAATCGTTGTTTGCAGATCAATCCGGTTTTGTTTATGGCTCGTGGTCCGGATGCCTTTTTCTATGGGTTTACCCGAATAATAAACCATAGGTTTTTGACCAATCAGATCACGCGTACTATCTCAGTTATTTTATAAAGATAGATAGATAGATAGATGGATGGATGGATGGATGGATGGATGGATGGATGGATGGATGGATGGATGGATGGATGGATGGATGGATGGATGGATGGATGGATAGATGGATGGATGGATGGATGGATGGATGGATGGATGGATGGATGGATGGATGGATGGATGGATGGATGGATGGATGGATGGATGGATGGATGGATGGATGGATGATAGATAGATAGATAGATAGATAGATAGATAGATAGATAGATAGATAGATAGATAGATAGATCAATAGATAGATAGATAGATAGATAAATAGATAGATAGATAGATAGATAGATAGATAGATAGATAGATAGATAGATAGATAGACAGACAGACAGACAGACAGACAGATAGATAGATAGATAGATAGATAGATAGAGATAGATAGATAGATAGACAGACAGACAGACAGACAGACAGACAGATAGATAGATAGATAGATAGATAGATAGATAGATAGATAGATAGATAGATCGATCGATCGATCGATCGATCGATCGATCGATAGATCAATAGATAGATAGATGGATGGACGGACGGACGGACGGACGGGCGGACGGGCGGGCGGGCGGGCGGGCGGATGGATGGATGGATGGATGGATGGATGGATGGATGGATGGATGGATAGATAGATAGATAGATATGGATCATAAATAGATAGATCATTTTTGTTGTTTTATATTACCTGATTCAGACTGAGTAATGATTGCAAGATAAACGACAAATGTAACAAAGATGACGCAGATCATGTCCAGACGGATGTTTAGCCATCTCAGTGCTGCAAAAACGGCAAAATAGGCTCGATTGTGGTCATCTTGGTATCTGATAAAGGCAACCAAAAAAACCGCACGGTCAATCGCTTTGAAGAAATCTAGAAAAGCGTGCCTTGCTTTATTGATCTCATTGAAAGCCTCACAGGTACTCCCTTTAATGGTCTACTGATACGATGAGGCTTGACCCAAAAGGTATATATACCTTTTTCACGGAAGGGCGGATTTCAAGAGTTGTCTGAGTGTATGAAAGGCTAGGAGAAGGTTAGCAGAAGTGTTGACACGTAAATCTCTCAATTTCAGGAAATGATGCTCTGATGAGCTCTGAGTAGCCAACTGTTCATCGGTGCAAAAGATGAACCTATAGGTAGCCTGAAAATCTACTACGCTGTGTCCGCTAGGCCTATATGAGAGATGGATTTTTCAATTTGAAATGGGCACTTGCGACCCATAACTGACTTCTAACCAATTGATTAGGTAGTTTGTAACATGTTTCATCCATTGACATCGCAGGAAAATTAATAAGTGGGTTGTACTTAAGGATGAAGTTAACACACACAAACCTGTACAAAGCTTCCATAGACATATTTTCCTTTTTGTAAGCTCGAATGGTCACCAGTCCCTCCAACGAGTCCCTGAAGTGAGACAGTACTGGACTTCGATTGACTGCCTCTAGACGCCTCAAGTCACGTGATGGATTGAGGTAATATCGACCAATCAAAGCAAAAATAACCATGAGCGGGATTGCTGGAAGTATTATCCAGGGGATTAACACGGATTGAAATATAACTGCTCCAAGGCAGTACAGAACCTGCTGGAGGGCCATCATGAATGCTTCTGGCAGCAACTCTTCCATGATATTGATATCTCTGGAAAACCTGTTCAACACTCGTCCAACTGGATTGGTGTCAAAAAACAAAACTGGAGCTTTTACTACTGCTGACAGCATTAAGTTATGAAGGCTCATCGATGAGTTAATCAACACGTTCATGACCGCGGCTGATCTGATGATTAGTAGTAAGAACGCTGCACCAACTAGGTAACCATAAATGGAAAGGTCTTGACTTTGACGATGGGGATCATGTGATCTACTGGTCAATTGAAGAAGCCACCAGTCGGGAAGAACTAGGGACGCTTGATGATCAATATAAAAGGAAGACAGGTTCATTCGTCAGTCTCAATTATCATCAAGCCAGGTCAAACGTAGTCCCCTATAAATTCTACTAATGAGTTAATTAATTGAAAATACCGTTGAATCCGCTTGTCGTTATACTTTTCCTGCTATATAATCTCACATGCTTGTCATTTTATCCTTCAGACTTTCTGAGGGGCACAATAATCTCTATAATAGGCCATTTGCACTAAGTGGTCATGTGACATCGTTTTCTGAAAATGAAAGTTATACGATTTTGCCTTCGAAAAACGATTAGTGGGTCATATGTTAAACAAAATAATAGGGATTTGGTTTGTCAAACCCGCACCATTTTCTTAAAATGAGTAAGTTCGTAGCTGGTCACGTGACCAAAATGTGATTTTTAAAATTAGGAATTACATCTTTCTGAACACAAATTTTCCACTTAAAGTTTAAGGGAAATGTTGAAAAGATGATGTGGTAACGTTTACAGCACATCTGAGCGTAACTATCAAACGTTTAACAAGATATAAGCAAAAAGTAGTTTTGGCCGCCATGTTGGAGGGCAAGTGGATCCCCTCCAACATGGCGGCCAATACAAATCATACTGCTTTGTTGAAAAATCAAAGTGCCATAAAATATCTCCCTTAAATGCATTTCCTCTCAAATTTCGGGTGTAAGATAATTTTTATGTGCGCTGTCAATTTTTGGCATCAGCAAGATTCCAACTCATCGTTTAAAGGAAGCATTGGTCACGTGACCTCTTAGTTCAACTGGCCTATTCTGCGGATTATTCCTATGTACCTTAAATATGGGAATGCCCCCCTCCCCCTGGGGAAATTAAAATACTTTTTTACAAGATAGCTGAACATACTCAACCTTGGACAAGAAGAACAAAGATGAACATGACCCCAGCTAAAATGGTACACGTTCCAGCTCGTATATAATGCCAATATAACTTCCAAGAGATAGAACCGACTGCGCGATCTTCCTCGGCATTTTCCAGACCGCATTCTCCGTCCACGGTTGTTTCATCTCCGGACGTGTTTGAAGGTAATGTACTTTCCCGTGCTGTGTTAATATTTTCCACATTACCAGTGCACTCCTCCATTTCCCGCAAGCCTATGTCAGACCTCCATAATGACATAAAATCGCCCCTTGCTGAAATAAAACCGTCTTTCATGATTACAATGTCGTCGGCATCTCTTAGAGCCTGAAGATTATGCGTGACAATTATCCGAGTACTTTTGCGTAATAATCCATGGACGCATGTTTTAAAAATATGCTGTCCAACCTTTGCATCAACTGCGCTCAGAGGATCATCCAAAAGATATATATTAGCATTGGAGTACACTGCACGTGCCAATTCAACACGAGCCCGCTGGCCACCACTAAGTACTATTCCATATCATTCGTCATATCACCATCCGGGAATCTTTGAAAGTCTTTGTTCAAGTCACACGCCTCGATTGTCAAACAATACCTGTTTGGGTCGAACTTTTCACCAAACAAGATATTTTCTCGCACGGTACCCGCGAACACCCACGGTTGCTGGCCAACCCAGGCAATTTTACCGCGACACGATACACTGCCAGACAAAAGAGAAATTTCCCTTAAAATGACGTACAGAAGGGACGACTTGCCGCAACCAACAGGACCTGTGATGAAGACGAGGTCACCGTTTTCGACAGATAAATTTAAAGACTGCAAAGTTAACTTATTCCACTTGCCAGTCCAACTGCATGCGACGTTTTTTAGGAACATAGCAGGATGTTTGCTAGATTGGGTTTCTGTTTCATTGACGTGATCAAAACATGAGTAATAAGCCTTGCAGGATATCTCTCCTGCACTCTCAAAGCCAAAGGAATCTTTTAGGTATCTGTGAGTGTTCTTGTTTTTAAATTCGAGAAAATGCTGAATGCGAGCCAGCGCGACAGCAAAATCGGCCAAAAAAGAAATTGGTCTTGCAATACCCCACGAAATGGTCGTCCTCAATGCGCTGACAAGTGACACAATCAGAAAAGTGTTGTACACAGTCAGTTCAGTTCCCGTGGCTGCTAGCGTAACCAGGGAGAAGAAAGTGGCAATTTGTTGACAGGAAAAGTAGAGACAATCAAAGCTTGCAATTATCACCGTTTTCATCCTGATAAGGTTGATTTCGGTCCTGGAAGAAACAGTGAGCATGCATCCTTAACACTTTTAAAGAAAACAGACTCCTGGGGGCAGGGTATGTACGTTCTTGGATTTCTTTTTGGCGAAGTTGTAGAGTTTCCCCCCTCCGTTTCAAGTTGTACCCCCAAACGCGGGCATTCAAGGGAAATTTTGGTAGAGGTGTGCCGCCGATGCCTTCAAATCCCGACACTGTTTAAGTCAAAAATCGTTCATTTCGCTACCCTGTTTAAGACAAGAGACCTAATTTCACGACCAACCTTGATTCACTTGGCTTCCCGTACAGAATTAAGTAATCAGTTTTAAACTAACATCACAGTATTAGATTTTTTGGGAAACAATTTTTCGTACCACACACCAACCTGGGCACTTTTCTAAAGGCTTCCAGACGCTAAATAATAGTCGCCTAGGGTTCACTTAAAGTCCTCCATTAGAACTTTTTTCTATGCAGCAGTGTATAAAATGACTCTACAAGATGGGACCAGTATGCTTACTCAATTGATATGACTATTACTTTTACCTTCGCATCCGTTTCACTTTTTCCATGAATGATCCCTCCCAAGCATACATCTTGACCGAACGAATTCCAGAAATGATGGAGTTCATCATATCCACGCGTTGATCCGCAACATGAGAAATTTTTGTTCGCAGTTTTAAGCTTATTTGTCCAGCCATTCCGTAATATAGTACAAGACTGACCATAAAACCTATTCCTGACAGAGGTTTCCAACCAAATAAGTACACCATGAGACAAGAGATACCACACACTTCTAATACAGCTTGAGCCAGAATGACTATCCTGATTGCGGAATGTTCAAAGCGTTGAAGGTCACCAGCGACAAGGTTAATGATCGAGCCACTTGTTATATTAAATAAATCTTCTTGATTCAAACTCAAGACCTGCGTAAAAAATGATGATAACGATAGCGATAGTAGAGACCTTTAGATTCGAGAACGACGAAGAGATTTCGGGTGTTCTCCAAAAATATATATACCCCCCGGAAAACTTCATTGTACTTTATTTTCGCGAGAAAAATTAACACAGTTATTTACCGCAATTAATGAATGAGGCTGAGCATCATGAAGAATTAAGGAGACCGAGGAGGGTGTTATCCGTCGAGGTCGTAGGCCGAGGTGGATAACACCCTCCGAGATCTCCATAATTCTTCATATGATACGAAAGCCGAACTCAATAATTGTTTTATTATTCATTCAAAATAATTCCTAGTTTAAAAACATAGATAAAACATGCTTACCTCCATCGATCCATCGATGTTACGTTCATCTTCGATAGTGCACGTTTACTTTTGTCCAGCTCCGCAAATATTCTCCAAATAGCAGATGCCGCCCTTCGAGTTGTCTTCTTGCTGTTCTTGCCATGTTTTTAGCTATTTTTTCGCCTGGTTCTTACTCTTGAAACGAGTGAAATGACCGCCATTTTTGTTTCCAAAACCAAAACAACTTAACCTCGTCCCCAGGTCTTCTCGGTTAACAGTGCCTTAACCTGCACGAACGCTGCATTTTTGACGTCATTTCCTCGTTGAACACAAAATTCTTCCAAATTCGGTCATCAGTAACTGGTTATGGTGAATTAAACGTGTGCTTTTAGCCAATCAGAATCGGGGAAGTATTTTGAATGAATAATAATTTTTTCAAGGGGATTAATTATGATAACATTTCTAAAACATTTCATAACTTATTAAAACTGAATTGATAATTGGCCAGATAACATAATTATGTGTTTGATAGTAGAGCTTAGAAAATTAGTCACATTCTTTTTCTCACCTTTTTGTAAATGACCGCAATGGTTCCCGATTTCCACCTCTGGGCAATTAAATAAGTATGAAACTTCCATTGGCGAGAGGAAATGGCGCGCACCAAGTTACTTAGGCAAATCCCAGCAGCGTAGATGTATGTCAGCCAGCGATCTGAAGAAGTAGACTTCGTAAACTGCGTCAACAGTAAACTCAGAAAAACGTACTGAAGGACATTGCAAACGCCGGCTAACAAAGCGGCGCTCACAACAAACACGTGGTAAGTCCATGGAATTATTCGGATAAGTGCTCTGAAAAAACGATAACCTCTTCTATCTGTTACAGGAACACGTTTTGCGCTCTCTTCGCTCCACGTCCGCTGCAGCTTTTCGGATAAAGATTCAGTTTTATCGTCGTCAAGTAGAGGGAAAAGATCATCATTTTCAATAGGACGCTTGTTACCAATGGCAACAATCTCCCTAACCCACCAGAAAAAAAGAATGGAAAAAATACTAGCGTTTTTCATGGGATTTTCTTTCCGTCTCAAAGTATCAGACTCCAGACGGTCATATTCTCCTAGTTTCATTGTGATGCCTGGAATTGAGACCGAATTTTTGTGGTATCTGCAAAATAATGATGGCAAAAAAGAAGAGATTTTAGTTCGTCCTAAAGGCATGTAATACCAGTTTTGCTGTCCAGTAAATACTAAAAGTTATCCTGAATTAAAAACTTTGAATATTTAGGAAATTATCGTCTTTCGATTCCCCTCTTATTTATGTCCATTACCGGTGATAAAGGAATAAATCCCGTTTTTCAATTGAGAATCCAGTTATAGAACAAAAACGTGGCCAACGATTGTCATGCACTCACTGGTTGAGATTTGTTTAAATTATTTTTGAAAAGTTAACCTTGGTAATAATTCACGTTTGGCCTTTGACTGTTTCGAATGTACAAATATCTCGAAGGAATGACCTGTCATCAGGCCATTTTGAGTTTTCTTTTCGGCAGAGAGGGGAAAATAAATAAAAATTTTGAAAAGTTCTCTTCCCTCAAGGGACAAATTGCTGGTTTTCAACCACATGGTAAGCCAGCTATAGCGGTGAAACAAAAAAATATATATTTCTCTGTGGCAGACTTTGCATTAAAAAAGAGTTCAATTTTTTTCCTTGCAGAGGGAAACACCTTTGTTTTTGTTCACCAGCATGGTAGCCTGATCCAGGCTCTGAGATTGTCGGGTTCGCGTAATTCATTGTTGAAAGCGCGAACACGCCGCCACCCTTTTCTGAGAACACGCGCTTATACTTCGCGTGAATTACACTTGCGCATCAGCGAAAATGTTTTGGGATCACTTTCTTGAGGAGCACTTATCTCCATACTAAAAAGTGACATTTCCGACTCTCACAAGACATTCTGAGACATTTCCCTTTTCCTAAATGAAATTTTCAAGTACAGAGTCCTTAAGTATCTTCAATTTTTAATGAAAAAAATAACTAGAAGGGCGTGAGGAGGACTCGAACTTAAAGTGTAGAATCTGCAGTCCATCTCCAGTACCATTACCCAACTGAGGATTTGCTGACTATTTGGTTTGATTTGAAGGTATATAGCAACAACCCTAACCCCACATAGAAGCTAACCGTTTATCGAGTCAGTGCTTAACCCTATCACTATCTGAGAGCCTGGAACAGGCTACCAGCATGACCGCCGTGACGTCAGCTGAAAACTAGCCAGCCGAGGACAAGGGAAACAAGAGGCAAAGTATGCAGAACCGGACCTTTTTACCGATACAGCGGCCATATTGAATAAATTCGATTTAAGGAGTATCATAGGATGCCCAGGGGGTAGAGCACATTTCGTTTGTATTTTCGAGCGCTTTTCGGGACATTTTTTCTTAAAGTTTTCTTAGAATAAGATTGTCATGGGAAAAAAGATCCTTGCGCCGTGTTTGGATGTAATAATGATCGCCTTTTTCCCGAGAAATATACAGTGAAAGACCATATTTATAATACTAAACTAGAAAAAGGCGATCATTATTACATCCAAACACGGCACAAGGATCTTTTTTCCCATTACAATCTTATTCTAAGAAAATGTCAAGAAAAAAAGTTCCGAAAAGCGCTCGAAAATACAAACGAAATGTGCTCATGCCCCCTGGGTATCCTATAATACTCCTTAAGTCGAATTAATTCAATATGGCCGCCGTATCGGTAAAAAGGTCTATTTATTATTACCATAGTTAATTCATGCTCATCCTATTTAGCTT